AACTGAAGGTGTGCAAGGCTTGCTGTCTCGGCCTTGCGGCTTGCTGATCACATGGACTCCGGACAAGACAGGATGGTATACGTAGGATGGTACCGACTTGCTCCAAGACCTTCGCGTGTGTTTTCCTTGTACCGACTTGCAGGGAAGAAGACAACGTGAACGCTGCAAGTCTGCCTCATGTTCACATCGCCCAAAGCCCACAGCTCAGCACAGCCCCACCAAAAGCCATTGCTTGGAGAGTATACACCCCCAAACCGTTGTTCTTCTGTATCAGCTAATTTTCAAAAGTGTTTGGTACAATGAACCAGGTCGTGTTGAAGATAGTTGTCCCCGTCTTCTTTCCACGAAACTCAGTCATCGCCATGTCCAACCTGAGGCTTCCCACACTTTCGAGAGACACTCTCCTGCGAAACTCGCGACCCGTCCGATATACGTGGTCGGCTCGCAGCAGGCGGCTGCTTTCAAAAGGTGGGAGGATCAGTCCCTACTATAGAGTGATAGGCCTTTCCAGTTGGATCCATACGATTTGACCCAGCAAATCAAGTGGAGGGCCGTACGGAGGAGAGAGCACCTGTCTGTCCAGGAGTTTGCATGCGGCAACCTCTTCTGGGGATACATTGGAGACCATCTTCTTCGTCTCCAACAAGTCATGAGAATTTCAAACCCAAACAATTGGAGGACACATTGGGATACAGTCATCCCAATCTAGTCCCAGTCAACCACCGCCCAACCATCTCTAGTTGGGCTTCGTCGGCCTGGGCGGTGCCCAAAGGACCACTCCGGGGGACTGACCGATCAGTTGGGGGCGGTTGACTGTACAGACAGGTCGTGTCCCAGACAGGTCGTGTCTATCCATAAAGGTACAACACAACAGAAATGCCCTAGTGAGAATTGAGAGTGATGCAACACTGGGAGTGATGCCTAGTGAGAATTTCTCGGTGCTCTCATCAACAGCATCATGGTCATCATCAAACACAATAATTATCATCATCGTCCTTGTCACCAATGAGAACAGTCCAACAAAGCCAGGATCGGACCGGCGAATCGGCGAATCGGGATCACACCGGTCACAAGAACTGGTCCGGTCCACGTGAAAAAATCAATTTCTTAGTCTAAAGAGATGGTTTAGGGTTTAGGCTTTAGGATGGATGGATGTAGTAGTTGAGATGGATGGTTCATTTCTGGATGGTCTAGTGAGAGAATAGTGTTGTGTTCTGAGTCTAATTTCGTAATAATGGTCCATGTTACATGAAAGAATTACACAACATGTTGTCTAATTGTTGGTTCTTACAATTCAATTCAATTACATTTCTTAGAATTAATGTTGTGTTCTTGGTTAGTCTAATGTTGTGTCAATTCAGCAAAGAGTCTCAGGATTCCACGAACTCCTCGGTGTGGAGCTCATGTGAAGACCAAACTGAGAGGATGAATGGCAAACAGCAACATACCAAAAAATGAAAGACACGTATGTAAGATAGATATATAATTATTACTGATATATACCCCTAGGCTTCCATCGACGCTGTATTTCAAAGTCGTCGCTTTTGTGTCACCTTCGTTCGTTCTAGAACAGACTGTCCGTTCTAGGACAGACAACCCCTCAGTTCTCCCTTGTAGCATGTGCCACGGCCGACTATTGTTTTCCACCGGCGTCCGCACACATCCATTTATGGCTCAGCGGGCGATCTCTCGCTTCAGTGCCACGTTCCTTGCCGGGATCTCAGAGCAACGATTTAGATCAAACATGATCAAACTAAACCCCATGCACCAAATACAGTGCAGTATTCACATGTACATTCTCCCACCTGATTTTCTTTTTGGCGTGCTTCAAGCGAAGCAAGCTTCGCTTGAGGATTGAGGCAGTCATATTGAATCTATGGCTGGCCACCGCAAGACCTCATCAGACTCATCAGCCACTCACCCAACTCAATCCACACCAAGCAAAGCTCAAACGGTACAGACTGGACCAAAAAAGCAGATGCAGATTGAGCAGCTTTTGAGATAACGCATGAAGTCTTCGTCGCTGAAAGTGTGTTCAAACCGGGCATTAAGCCCTTGGTGTTGCGCGCGTGTTGAGAAAATGCAACAAAAAACAAGTTGAGCCACATGGTGTGTGCTGCTCATCGAGCCAAGGAACTAAAGGACATCATCTCTCGAATTTGGTGGTCCACTGCCTGGGTCCAACGCCATGGCCGTGGGTCTAAAAGAAAAAGTACACAGCAAATTGTTCTAGATCGACTGGGCAGACAAATTGCATGGTGCTTGGGCAGCAGCCCCCATCGCAATTTGCCATTCCTGCAGAGAAAAACATCAGGGTTACCTCATCAACATGTAAAGTTGTGATGTTGATGTACATGCGAATCAACATCTACACGTGTGCATGTATTCCCAACTCCCTTCACTCCTCAAAGATCTGCGGTTTAGGGCTTTCATGAGCAGCAAATATTTCTGGCCATGCTCCTTGATGGTGGAAGCCTCTCTGTCAGACCTTGCAGTGATGTACACCACCATGGTGTGTTGAAAAAGTCTGTACAGCGAGCAACGTATGTTCATCCTAGTAGCAAATAGCGGCCCGCGTTCTCCATAGCAGTTACAAAGGCATTTGCCGCTGTCCTTATTAGGTATATCCGAACAGACCCGGCACTCACTGACAACACTGCATGTTAAAGCTTGCAAGGTTCATGCATCCAGCAACCATTGCGTTCTCAATGTGCCCAGGGGTGCGGGATGAGAGCAATACACAGGATTCTGCCAACCATGCGGCTACCACACGGCCGTTGAAAGCCTTCAGGTTCATCACCGGTTCCATCCGATCAACCTTGGTTCCATTACTGGTACCGGTGTTTCAAACACTGTAAACCACCACTCCACAAACGGCCTGACCCATCACTTTACCACCAAGCAACGATATATTGCGTAAACCCAGGTTGCGAGCAGGAAATTTTGTTGCGTTTCTTCCATGATCTGAAATGTTGGAAAAATATCTTCACAGCTTCTGCCCATGGAGTTGCCGGATCACAGAAGAATCCAGCATCAAATAGATGCATCCTGGGAAACATGTCGATTTGTGTGGTACTTCGTAAACAAGTTAAACGGATACATGTTCATGCATGCATGGCCAACGCTGGTTAAGGGTCAGGGCCGAGCCGTTTGATCGCTGGACGGTGCCAAGATGGAAATTATGCATCATACAGAAGCGTACCATAAGGTAGTGGAAGCCGATGATTGCAAAGAGGGGGCCTTGAGTCAGAAAAACAATTCTTTTCCAAGAGTGTGCATAGTCACTAGTGCTCAAACTAGCTAGGGACTTATAGTAAACACAAACTTCAACCACAGACGAGGTTCAAATAGGGCCTTCATTGAGTTTTGTGGCAATGAACTGCACATGCGTCACAATCGTTGATGGCCACAGGGCTGAATCAGAGAAATCGTACCCTGACTGACCCAGTGTTGATGCATTCCGCCAAGCCCCACACTTGAAACAGTTCTGAGCACTGTTCCAGCGCGGCTTCAAATTCAAAATATCCATAAACCAAGCCCAATCTCCTCTCAGTTCTGTGAGGGCGAACTTAAGCGGCCGCTTTTCGAACAAGGGTTCCCCGGGATAGGTTGCCATATCACTCCGTGGCATATCATCACATCCAGGAAAAGGATGTGATGGCTTGTGTCCATTGAACAAAAAGTTCATGGCATATCGAATATACTCGAACACTCTCCACAGAGTTTTCCTCTTCACCATCAAAGAGCACCGCATTGCGAAGACGCAAAACTTGCTGTTGCGGGTTGACCGCGGAGAAAACAATGGAAAGCTCACAAGTATAGCCAGTATTTTCTCAGGCACTCCTGTCGCAGACGTGTACCTCGCCTCGTCTCCGTAAATTGCACATGGAATGTGCTGATCACTTGCTGGGTGCTGCGCACCCCATGGCATGTGTTCCCGGGTGTGACTCCAGTATGCAGAGATCCCCTTCCAGTTGAGAGGAAGACCATGTCCATCTTCACTCCACAAGTAATGGAATAATTGGAACAAATTGAGCACCGGAACCCTTTCATCTGTGATCGTTGGTTTCCCCTCCTCCCGAAGATCGAGTGGGGCAACGATGTGCACTATACCCTGCAAGCATGTGCATTCAATCAAACACGGTCCCAAATAATGTTTAAAGGCAAAAACAAAACACTAATTAACTGACAAAATATCTTGAGGCTTTGAGGGGTTATGTGCACTTCAACCGAGGAGCAACTGGCAAGCTTCGAGACCGCCAGAAATCTCGACTCAGGTTTACTCCAGCGGCAATCTTCGACAGCTTCCGAAGGTGTGGAAGCGGTTGGGCGTTGGACTCCTGGGAAATGAACTTTTTGGAATAATGCGGCATGAGGTTTACATCAACGCAAGACACAAACGGACGAACAGGTCCAGAGCTGTACAATATACGTGGTAAACGTTAGAAATTTGTTGGGATTTGCGCGGCAGCAGAGGTCTCCTTTGCAAAAGCAGCGGTTTCGGAAATAGATGCCACACTAGCCTCGGCTAAAAGATGAATGATTTGATCATTAAGTCTTGCAAGGAGATGAATCGAAGTTCATGTCCATGCTTGTTACACAAATGTTTCCAACCAAGTCGCTCCAGCACCGACCTTATCTTCGAGGTGCGCGCATATGGGCTCATCTTCAATTGTACCTGGTCGAGGCACGAGTGGAAACTGAAGCGGAAGCGAATCCAATGCTGGATTCGCGATGATTTGTTGAGAGTTAGTGTTCAAACATCGGCGGTGATTTGTTGAGAGCTAGTGCATCGATCAAGACATGACATTTTTCTCTTGCGATCACGGTTCCAAAAAGAGACATGCTATCAGCATGGATCAATACATTTTCTCCCTAAGCTGTAGCACGCCAGTGCTCCAACACAAGTGGATCTGCGTATCGTACTTGCTGTGTCTGACAACTTTCTTCAAGATATTATATACGAGCACGGTTTCCAAAATATTGTAATCTAGGCTGTGCACTCAACAGGTTGCTGACCCACTATATTGTCGTGCCACTCTATCACTTAGCTGCGGCCTTCGCTTTTGCAGTTGGAACCTCAGCCATTTACGCACACTGCGTTTATATAAGAAATACCGTTGACCATTAAAGCAGCAAGTAAAGTGGAAGCAAGTCATGATCATGATTCTATGTATACGTATTGGGTCAAAGTACATGTTTCTTCACGGTCTTCAGAATTTCCTTGTAGTCGTTGATGGTCTCCCGGATCTGAGTGAGCAAGCCCTCCACCTGGTCCATTTTTCTGTTGAACAGGGATCCAAATTTGAGGTTTAAGCCACGTGAACTTTGCACCCTAGAGTTATGGTCGAACATGCAATATGGACGACATGTCACTCGAGCCTCATGGTCTGTACTTGCAGAATCCAGATTCTCGCGGCCTTGCTTGATGAGGTCCAGCGGGGCGTTCATGTCTTGCACCAATGCATGCACCAAGTGTTCCTGCCTCAGTGGGCGAGTTGATGGCGGCGGCAGTGGCGTGATAGAGGTTCTATTATACTGCACGGTGGGATTGAGTTTCAGACGAACTGGCTTTGCTTAGTTTATCCTTCCACACTGGAGCTTCTGAAACGATCATGGCGATTTCCTGCAAAGCCTGCGAGGAAGTTTTTGAAGTGCACCCTATATACTTGTAGCGTGTTCTCAACAAACTTTAAACACACCCCATGGCACCTTCTTCTTTTGCGCCATCCAGGTCAAAACCTTTTTTTGGTTTTTCTTCTACCTGCTCATTCTTTGTGTTCTTCTTCTTGGATTTCTTTTTCTTGTTCTTCTTGACTTTCTTTGCACCCGCCTTCGCGCCTGCACTTGCAGGCCTTGGGTGGCCAGCACGCTTCCAGGAGCTGCGAGAGACATCAGAGCTGACAACCTATATCACCATTGCCGTGCTAGCTAGTTAGATCTGTAAACATATGCTGGCTAGTGACACAGTTGCACTGGCCGCTGGCTCAGATGCAGAAGAAGATTCACCATCGCTCATTTGCACACCAGTCTCAATTTCGTTCTCGGATTCAGATTCTGAAGCTTCTTCATCGAAGACTCGATACCGACGCATGTCCTGTACATGTGCCAAGCCACAAGCAGGTGCCCAGTACAACAAGTAGCTAGTAGAACACGACAAACAGTTTGAGGATTACGTTTATTTCTGAGTTGGCCTCCATGTCTGGGAAATCTGGGTGTTCTTTAAAAGATCCACATTCGGTTTTCTGCTCTATCAGGAGGTCGACTATGGCTTCGTCTTTGTACCTGAAATTTGAGGATCATGATCAGGCGTGGGTTGTGGGAGGGTTTGAAGGTTGACCAGTTTTAAAACACATTGACACTACGTCCATGTAATCCAAAGAGATTGCACATGCGCAAACAAAGATATATAGGTCCCTGACATGTCCATCAGCTGAAGCTTGGTCTTGTAGGCATACTTCACTCTGTGACGTCTCTTCTTGCGATTGGTCAGTCGCTGAAAAGTCCGGGAATGAGCCCAATCACCAGCACAAGCAAACCAGTCTTCCAGCAAGTCAGCGATTTCATCATCTTTTTTTCCTAAAGGTGTGCGTGCGCACATGCATGCATGTGCATATATCATGGTGCGTACATTGCCGGCCTGCTCTTGCATTTGCCGCGGACTCCCTTATTTCAGCCGGTGTTGTCTTGCCTAAGTGCGCACACGTATGTCGCTGGATGCGTATTGAGGGCGCATGGGGATTTAATACTAAGCCACAGACTACGCAAGGACCGCAGGAAGCGCATGTGGTGAGCTTTGGCACGTGCTTTTCTGGCAACTATGTCTGCTTCTGTTTCCGGTGGTGGATTTCCTGTGATGTCGGTTGTGCTTGCTCGGTTCAATGCCTGTTCTGCCGCCGCCTTTTCGATGCCTGGTGCAGATGGGTGCTCAGTTGGCTTTTCTGCTTTCGCTGGTGGTTTGGGTTTGCCTTTGGCTTTCTTTTGAGGCACTGCTGCTGCTTTGGCTTCGGCTTCGGGTTCTGCCACTGGTGCTGTTTTGGCTTTGGCTGCAGGTTCTGCTTTCGGTTTTGGTGCGGCCTTGACTTTTGGGCAACTCTTAGGCGCTGCTTCAGGTGGCTCACTTGGTGCGCTTTTGGCTTTGGGTGCACTCTTAGCTCTTGGTGTTGCTGCGTGTTTGGCACTGGGCTTTGCTGGAGCTGCTTTGGTTTCTGCTGACTTTGCACGGACTGTTTTTGCGTCGACACTGGATTCGATGGATTCAGCCTTAGATGCTGAACGTGGCTGCCTCGCAGGTGGGGTGATTTGGGCATGTTTCGGTGCAGCAGCATCTGGAGGGGGTCCCTTGGCCTTTTTTGAAGGCTGCTGTGGAACTGCCTGCGAAGGTGACTTGGCAGTAGGTGCGATGGGACCTGTGCTTCCTGTGGCTTTGGCCTGCGTCTTAGGGTCTTCGCGTGTGCGCTTCACAGGGGGGGCTGGCTTTGCAACTTCTTTCGGACGTGCTGCTTTCTTTGCTTTGGCCAGGGTATCAGCATTATTATATTCCACAGTAACCTGTGAATCTATATGTGCGCCAGCTGCTTTCGAGACCGCTGTACCTGCATAGGGCACGCGTGCATATATGTACATGTGCACACGTTTAATTTGATTCGATTCAATATTGAAATTTATAAGCCTGGCAATACGTATGCATCGTGTAGCCACCAATCTTCTAAAACCTGGGAACCTCCAAAGAGCTGACAGAATTCAAAGGTGATGTGCAAAAAACAAGTACATGTTCTAGGAAGGCCATCACAGGCACCTCCTGCTTCGTTTCCAGGAGGATCAGGTGCCATCTCTGACCTCTAGAAACACATGGTCACCACCGATATGGAGTTAAGTACTGAGAGAACACAGCTTCTAAGTGTACAGCACAGGTCGGGCCACAACGTGCTTAACAAGCAAGTTGTTTGAGCAATAAATCTAGAAAAATGGGGGGTCGCGATTTCACGGTCAACCCCGCGTTTTCACGGTCAACCCTTGTCATTTCACGGTCAACCCTTGCCATTTCACGGTCAACCCCTGCGATTTCACGGACATAGGGGTCCCCCTTGTTTTTTTTAGAGAACATGAACTTGGTGCTGATCTTGAAGGCGAAGAGCATGTTCAGATTCCAAGCCATATTTTCCACATGTACAGGACATGTAAGTCTCAGCAGGCTAGCCAATTGGTTTCGTGCATGTAGGTCACGCACGGTTAATTTCAGTGCAACTGCTCGAGATGTATCTAGAATACGGGCAACAACAATTAATTCAGCTGATCAACTAGTTTTTTTTGTTTGAGTGCGGGAGGCCAACATACTTGGTTTCAAGAAATCGACCTAGCTGCACTGCATGGTAAAAGGAAACGTCGGAACATAGGAGCCATCCTTGATCCGATCATTAATGAAACGCTCCACCTCTCCCAAGCTGCCGTGCTTCCATCCGTAAGGTGCATCCTGCGCAAACTCAAATGTGCAGGTACACATTAATTGATGATTTTTCAATTAACTTGAACTGCACATGCCATTAATCACAACAACATACAACAACATGCACTGTCCAGTGGAAGCATTCCAACATCGTTCAGATCTGGAAGGAGCCCACCATCCTGCCAGAATGTTTGTCTTTGGCTAGAAAAAACGAACGTACCGCCAGGCCTTCACTTGCCCCTTCACTTTGATGTGGAGCTTGGCGACCTTTTTCGCAAAGTCCTTAGGGTAGGCCTGGGTACTGCGAAGGTGTTTTCCTCCACTCCTTGGCCACACCATCTGAAGTTCTGAACTTGTACTGTAGTGTCTATACTTAAAGGAGCTCGATCTAGAACTTGCGTGCGAGTCTCACTACCTTTTGACCTCTCTTGTTGAACGAAACTTTGACAACCTCGATGTCCTTTTGTTTCTTCAGGGCTGCAAGTTCCTTGCGGCGCCTTTGGGACAGAAAGCGGTAGAGGAAGCCAATCTTCGGCCTCAGGTGACGCGTCGAGACCATCAGCCACATGCGCTACATCTTGAGTCTGGGACCAAGTGCCGAAAACCATTGTCGGCTTTTGGGTGAAGTGGCCATAGGCACCAAGGTAACTGGGCAGATGGGCAGCCATCACCAAGAAACATGAACTAGTGGCACTGGCAAGATTGGATAGGGCCCCAGCAACCTTTGAAGGAAGGTCTTCATGCGGGCAGACAGTGCCAAGAGCTTTGCGTAGTGCGGCAACTTTGGTAGTAGTGATGATGATGGTTGTTCGATGGCCCAGAAAACGGACCGAGCCATGGCTAAGCGGCACAGTAGGCTAAATCGTGTCAGCAACAAATTGCTCATAGCAACTTTTTCGTTCATATTATTCCCCATCAACCGCCGCAGTGACCGCTTTGACGTCCCTAGACTTATGAAGACAAGCATACTGCAAGGGACGCCGCCCCACAATAGTCCTCCACGCTTCAATCGTAATGTCGACTTGATCGCCGCCAGAAAACCTGGCCTAAGTGCGCGTGCGCTAGTATTTTGCTCTCACTGATCTCTTTTGAGGTTCTGACGTGGTAGCCAGGTTGTTGATATCACCATCACGGGAAACCACATCGTAGTAATCCCTTATATTGCATACATCCACTCTGATCAAACTCCGGATCCATGCACAAATCATTTCCAAGCTTAAGGTCAGAACGACTTCAGGCCTTGCATGCCTGGGCAGTGAGAGGTTTCGGCAGGGTGACCAAAACACAGTGAAATTGGGAAGTGTCCGAAGTCGATCCATTAAATATATATGTTGGTGTGTTTGCAAAGTCCCCAAGCCCTGGACCAGATTGGGAATAGATCTGTCCAACCCCACTGAACATCTCGAAGACATCCAAATCCTGATGGAAGAGCTGCTAAGTTCTAAAAGAACACGGGGTGATCATGAGGGCATGGCTCGCCGAGAGCTGCTTGATGAGGGCGCTGTGGTTTGACATATATAGTCAGCGCAATGCAGCCTGATCAAGGTCCATTGGATGTCTCATTTTAAGGAATTCGATGAATGACGACTTAGGCTCTGACAGGATCATTGGCACCCCCAGCGTCATGAGGAGGTGGACCCCACGACTGCTTAGGGTCAATGGGTGCATCATGCTGTCAGGTTGTCCCGCGGTGCAAAGCTGTGAGCCCTCAAAGAAAGGGATGACACGATCCAGTAAATACTACAAATTAAATGGCATGCAAGTCAAACATCTTGCAAGACTATGTCGATGTAGAACAAATTTTCTTCCCTGGCGGTGTGGAGTTGCCCGGTCGCATACGTGCTTTCACACATATGGAATTGCCCCTGATTTCGTGAGCTATACAGGCTCACTCACAGCTGGGTGTGTTGCCAACATGTTAAACCATGATTGGTATTGGAACTATGGCCGCTACCACCCAGCTTCTCACTCGATGGTGAAATGTGCCTACTTCAGGCTCTCAGCAATCTCTTCATGCGCGACCCATCCAGCAAAGAGGCGGGCCAAAGTCCACCTGGGATTGGACAGACTGTCGGTCGGGAAAAAAACACGGCATATGTATATTCACATTGCAAACAGCTAGCGCTAGCTAGCACTAGCCAGTTGCATTCTAGTAGCGATCTCACAATCCCAACACCCATGTTGACAGTGACCCCCTTTTTCGTGTTGTTCACTTTGTACCCATACTTCTGCACATATTGCCAGCAATCTTCAGGAGACCGGTAGACATAGAAGGTCAGCAATTTCCTCGATCAAGTTTTGTTCATGCTTGATAATATACGCACATGCACCGTCGTTGTGGAACACGCATCAAGCTTAAATCCCAGGAGCGGATCACACAGAATCTGGATAGCGCTATATTCCTTAAGAATCTCCTTCTTGGATGATGGCGGACGCACGCTCACACACCTAGTCATTGTCAGGCGAGGCGTACTGCGCTTTTTTAATAAGCTCGATCTAAAATTTATTATTGAATTTCGCGAGGGTCTATTTTTAAAAATAGCACGTACACATCACTCCAAGCTCCTGGCTTGACATTGCATTTGACTGAATCCAACTCAAGATCCGGAAGGCTGAGTGCCTTGATAGCAGCAATCACCTGGCCAGGCTGTAAATAGTATAAGAACAATATACCGTACGCGTGCTAAACACCCACACCTGTGACCCTTCTGTGAGATCGGCAAGTTCTGATGGCTTGGCGTGCTTGCACTTGACACGCGCGCGCTTTGGCTGCTGGGTCTCTGCTACAGGTGCCTCAGGGGTGGCCCCTGAAGATTCGACTGCTTTGGATGCACGTTTCCGTGACACCCTTGGTGCCGGAGCCTGCTCAGCTTCAGCAGGCGGTGTATCGGCATGCTGCACTTCGGGCTTTGGGACTTGGGGGGCCTTGCCACGACCTTTGCCAGAAGCTTTCCCTCGCCCTCTCCCTCGACCTTTCCCTTTCCCCCTGCCCCTGCCACGGGCGGGTTCCACCTGATCCTGGCCATCACCCTCACCCTCACCGCCCTCACCATTGTCTTCTTTCATGGCCTTCCTCAATTTTTGGGTTGCCTGTACAGGTCAGGTCAAACACGTACATCAAGGAGGTCGGCACTGTGAATTACATATATTCGCGATATCGAATGCCCCGGCCTTTACAATGTTTTCATCTGCGTCCTTATCCTCCAGTTGGAGGCTGCTAAGAACTTGTTCACAAATTGCAGTTGCCTCCTTTGGCGCCTCTGGAATCTCGTTGAGCAGCGGCTTGCGATCCTGGTGACAAGAATTTGAAGCTAGCTAGCTGTGACTCTATAGACATGACCCTGACTCGCCTTGAATGCACCTTTCACAACCTTTTTCTTGTTCTTTGCAACGTACTCTTCATCACTCGCCTCAGCACCTTCATCCTCCTCTTCCACTTCGGCAAATTCAGTGTCGAGGGTGCGTTTATAACTGGAAGTCCATGTACCTTCGAAGTGGTGTTGAATGAAAAGAAATCATGTATATGAATTTGTGAGTTGAATGTGCTTCAAGCATGTCGATCAGTTTCTTTCATATTCGAATTCGCCTCTAAGGTTTTTGAGACTTGTGCAAGAAAATACAGAATTGTCAGCGCACCTTCTGGCCAGATACATGTTGATCTTCAGGCCTGCGCGTTGCGACTTTGAAAGCAAGCCGTCTCACCAAGAAGTATAGCCGGATATCCAATTGTTTCATCTTTCGAAGAGGTGTTGATGATTTTGATGGCCGATGGCCAAATCGTCTTCTGAATCCAGTTTCAAAGGGCTTCCAAAACCAACGCATTCGGGAGAGCCTCTTCATGTTAGCATCCTCCACTTCACCGGAAGAGCCCTCGGCGTCGAGCACTTCTTCACCTTCGCACTCCATGTCTTCGTCTTCATGCTCCTGCTGACTCTCCTGCTCCACCACTTCCTCAGGAGCACCATCTTCATCCATCAGAGGATCTTCCTCTAATTCCTCCTCTTCCTGTCCGCCCTCGGCGCATCCTTCTTCACCCAGCTCCTCTCCAGCATCTTCCTCCAGATCCTCTACTTGTTCTTCTTCCTCATTTGCTTCTTCCACTTCTTCTCGTTCCTCCTCGACATAGTCTGCAGCTCCAGGCTCGGGGCACACTTCTGCCTTTTCTTCCTCCTCTGCCTCTTCTTCCTCCTCTTCTTCCTCAACCTCTGCCTCCTTTGGGCATGTGATCTCTACGACCTCTGGGTCAGCAGGATCACTCCCATCCTCCTCCTGACTTTCAGCCACTTCTGCCCCATCTGCTGGTTCGTGGCCAGGGCTCATTGTAGATGGGGTTTGGGTTGGAACTGATCCAGATGTCGAAGTTGTCGGCTCCTCTGATGGTCGTTCCTCATCACATGGCTCAATGCCATCTTCATCCTGTTCCTCTATTTGCGAATCGTCTAGCTCTGTCCCAACCACCTGCGAATCTTCTTGAGCATCTTCGACCGGTTCTGATTCTTCATGTGCAGGTTGGGATTCTTCCATGGGCTGTGAATCTGGAGAGTATAGAACCGGCTGGGAGTCTTCGATGCATATCACTTTGGGCTTTGGTGCTTCACCCTGACAGTCCAATATGTCTCATTCTGAACGAACGTCGAGTCACCCAGCGCCTCCAATGATGAGCTTGATGTCCGCTTGCTTCGCAAACCAGACACGCTTCGAATGATGTCCTTCAGCCTGGAATTCTGCTGATGGTACCAGCCCTGCCTGGCAGATGGTGCAAATGAAAAATATTCAAAGTATCATGGCATCGCCTTGATCCCTGAGACCTTCGCTCCATCACCAGGATATCGGCCACCAGCACTCTCCAGTTCAAACTGCACAGAGCGGCTTGCTCCTAGCAAGTCTAGTTTGACCCCAAAAAAATTGTATGATTTCGAAATTGTTTTGAATAAAGTTGTCGAATCAATAAATGAACTAGAGCCTTGAGGCCACCAACTGTGGTAGCCGAGAGGATGTTGTGAGTCTCATGGATCTGGAGGATTGCCGCCTGCAATTAATTGATTCGAGGTTAATATCGACGACAGTATACGGCATCCAAAAATGACATAGTTTTGAAAAATGTGTATCAGTGCCTGACCTCTATCTCCTTCAGTGAAGGAGTTGCGCGGCCAAATTTTGAGAACCAGGATTCCAAGCGAGTATAATTCTTCTGCACCTATGCATGGCAGATAAAACTGTGTGTATATTCTCTGGTGCACAGGTTCACCACAATGAGTTCCAAGATATATAGGACATGATGGCAAGCCTGCTCATCCAGGCAGTCGTCGTTGAACACATTCTTCCCTTCCATTCGAAGATGAAAATAAGGAACTTCTTGGCCCTAGCGGCAAATTTGCTTTAATAAGTGGTCTAATGTGCACACACACACCATGATCATTTGAGAATAGTGCGCACCCCGCCTTCTTCGTCGACTGTTTCTCTTGAACCAGGCAGTGCAGCGCCTCGTTGGTGAGGACGTCGGCAGTGAGCCAGTCCTGAATTTGGTGATCATGTATCACGCCAGGAGTGCCCCACATCGATCAAGAGTACAAATTTAAGGATTCGAAATACATGTATTAGGTGCCTCACTCATGTACCATGTGTTTAAATCGATGCTGCTAAGAAGCCATGACTTTTTGAATGCAGTCGTCTTTGCAATGCCGCTGGGCCCATTTGAACTGCTTGGATGTCGCCATTACTTAGATCTTTCAACCCTCTTTGCTGAGACCAAAAATGCTACGAGATGTTGAATGTACAAAAAGGCCAGGATCTAAACTGCTTGCCAAATTAAAGCACATAGTGGGGCACTTCGTGAAGCAGCTTCGCATGCCAACATGCCTCGGAGCCACATGCAGGATTGGAAAAAGGACTTGGGGTGTTTGGGTGAGCTATAACTAAGTTCAGGACGCTTTCCACGCGCCCGGTTCATCTAGTAGATGTTTGAGCCACCAAGGGCTAAGAGTGACATTCCAGCACGTCGTTGAAAATACAAGTCAAACCGTTCTAGAACAGTCAAAGCCCCTCGACGTTGGATTTCAAGATCATTCGAAGCTCAGGGTACTAGTACTGATTGTTTGTATACCTGAATCTTCCCAGGGCTGCACTTTTTGCGCCTCCAACCTAGAAGGCGCCTCTAGGAACTGAGAGGCAATTTTTGTTGCAAGAGGCGATTCTTGTTTACATAGATTTCTCCCCAGTTATGTTGATAGAACATATGATAACCGTGATAACAATGAAGCTTTCCAAGTGGAAAAACACCACAAACCCCGAACCATGAACCAAAACATAAATCAATATGCATTAAAACGGTTCAAGCATGATAACACATGAAGCACATGAAGGCATGATAACTCACTGTGGAAAAGTGAGCGCACACAACATGAAACTGAAGATATATATGAACTGTTAATTTTCCACTTGGATTGGCCTGCGAAAAATGACCCCCACAAGTCCGGCTTCCCCCTTCAAAACCTGCATTTCAGGCAGGTCGAACCGGACTTGTGGGGGTCTTTTTTGCAGGCCAATCCAAATGGAAAACTGCAAGTATGAACATGATATCGCGCAATTTGATAAACACACATTAAAACATGAAACACATGAAAGCCACATGAAAAACCTAAAACATATGAAAAACATGAAACATATGAAAGCCACATTAAAAACATGAAAGCACAGGAGAGCCACATGAAAAAAAGCACATGAAACATATGAAAAACACGAAACACGGGAAAACATGAAAGCACATGAAAAGCATGAAACATATGCAAAATCATGAAACACATGAAACAACGAGAGGCGGAACTTCCCGGGTAAGAGGCGGAACTTCCCGGGTAAGCGGCGGAATTCCCAGGTCATGAATTTTTGGCATAGTCTTTGATTAAGTCGACAGGTTGCCGCTTTCAGGCTCGTCTCTAATCGAAAGGGGAAATGGCGTATCAGCTTCCATCCCGTGTCTTTTTGAGTTCGACCCTGATGGCTGGTTTGACGTTAGTGAAAGAAGAGAAAGATGTGGACAAACTTGAGGGTGACGATGCAACCCTGATGTCAGAGCTGCAACAACCGCAGGTGGGGCTGTTCGTTTCTATAGGTATTGATACTCACCTCTAGTCAGTGTTTTGGTCTGAACATTTCCTGGCTGAACATTTTAGCTTTGTTTTCTGCCGGCTGCAGGCGCTCAGGTTGCAAGTCCAGCAACTGCCTACTCCTATGAACTCTGCCTGGAAAGACCTCCAAACGCCAAACACCTCGGAGAGTTACGCCGGGCCTGATGCTGAACTCAAACGGCAGCTTTGGGTTTGGACGCAGTTGCTAGCAAGCATGATGAAACTCTGTTTGCTTGGGCTTGACCGATACTCTTTTATCATGTTGATAGCCGTCGGCAGCAGCAGCGGAAGACCACCAAAAACATTACAAATGACAAGATTCCCTTCTACCAGAAAAACACGAGAGGCAGTTTTTGTTCTAAGCGGCAACTCTTGAATGGAGAGGCTAACATTTGAGCCTCTTTGCTAAGAGGCTGAAAAACGCAACCATCGGAGGTTTGAGGTATATATATATATTGATGTAAAAATAACCCAACACCTGAAGTGTTTAGCTCTGCAATTCCCTCACCTCCCAGACTGGTTTCACATCCATCCCTCCTTCATCTCGCGTGGATCCTCCTCCAAGCGGCATTTATTACAGCCTGCAGCCGGAAAACGCATGGTGACCGTCCCTGGTGCAAAGAATACTAAGAGGTCATTGGCCTCTATTTAAGAAAGGAGGACAGATGCACAAGCTTTTGCACATGGTCAACTTCACCTCGCCTTTGACATGAGAAAGGGCCTTAATGAGGGACCCCAAGAAATGTGCAACCTGTTTTGCACATACAACGGTCTGTAATGATCTGTCAACCAAATATATCAACTGTTTGCCAGTACGGTCATGTACACATAATATCCGCGGACTTGTTGGACTTAATTTACAACTGCTATGGTTTTCTGTAATAGCTGGGATAAGACTTGTTAGGCTCCTTCTCCATGCTGATGCCATTGCTTCGCCTTCTGCTTCCACTGCTGCTGTAATCAAACGTCCACGGTGGCCACCGGCCGTCGCTCCGCGCCGGCGGTGGTGTTTGACCCAAAAGTGACCACTGGATGTGGGAGTAAGTCATTTAGACATATTTAGACTCCAGTTAGAGTAAAGGTCACAGGTCAGCAAAGAGTACATCACTTGCCGTCCGTGATTCTTTTACACTGCCTGATTTTGGTGTCCAAATGTTCACTTGTTCCATACCTACACTCCGAATGATCATGTTTCGTGCATGGCCCGGGAACCCGGCGAGCCATCCTATAGCCGCCGGCCCTGGAAATCCGATGTTCTTCAGGGCGGTCGCGGTCCACTTCCACCAAATGATGTTCTTCAGGGAGTGTACTCAACATAAATTGAACCGTAACCATAACCCCAAACCCTTGGCTGTTGGTGTCCCAGATCGCTGTTGGTAGCCCAGCTTCGCCGGTGTACCGCTGAATAGATCGTTTCTTTCGGATCTGGGTGTCGGCTTGGCAAGTCATTGGCCTTGTTGCAGTAAAGTCATTGGTACCTCAAAGTCTCTTTCATTCATTCCAATGATCCATCCCCAACTGAACCTGTGCAGTAAGCGCTAGCACTTCATCCACTGGATCCTGTCCCGTGCAGTTTCAACCAATCTAAGCCTCATCAATCCAACAGTTTTGACCACTGAGGTCACAATTTTAGACACCTGTTAGCTGTAGATAGCCTCTGAGGTCACCACTTTCTCAACGTCAACATCTCCCTTTTGTGGCATCGATCTCCGCTGCCAACACGGTCGAAACCAAACAGTCATCAGCCATCGGCCGGGTCAGTCTGCCACCGTCTCCGGTCTTTATGTGTCAGCCGGTGTGAGTTACATACAGTGTGTTATAATAAGTAGATGTGGTATGTATATATATATATATGCATGCAAATACACTTCTACAATCACACTAATTACTCTATGGAAAAAAACAAAAAAACACGTCTATCCAGCACCTCCAGTCCCTCAGTGTCGCACGTGCCTTGCTGGGGTGCTTCCTCCTAGTCGGCCGAAAAGGTCGAACAATAGGTCGAGATAGGTCAGTCGATGTGAGTCATTCCCTCTGCATGTCTATACGATCATGTATACTACCGGCAAGTGACTGAGGAGTTGGGGCTAATGTTATAGGAGTTATGGTAACCCCACATGTAAAGGACTGTGGATCCAAAATGCAACATGGAATCACCCAAAGCCTGTGAAGAAATTCTTCAATCCTATCAAAGACTTTCGACTCCTGTGAAGGATTCACTTCAATTGTTCAAATGAAAACAACAACATCTAGACACCTTAAAAAAGGCACCTTAAATTAACGAGCCTAGACCCCTTTAATTTGTTTATGTCCGACTCCTTAAATAAGAGGTGCCACTAAATAAGGAGTCTAGGAGGTTCAGTCTTCCCTCCTCGCATATCCTCTGACAACCACAGCGACCGCAACCACCAACAGCAACAACAACACCCCCAGCAACCATCACAACTACAAGTCCAATAACAACGACCGCTTTCCAATACCATCCTTGCATATCCTCTCCTCCAAAGGGCCTGCTGGCCCGCTGGTGGGCGTCAGCCCCTTAAATAAAATTTATATATAGAATGTATTCGTTAATGTCCAACACCTTGGACTATCGGCCTTAGATGTATTGGCTTTCGAACCTGCAAGTAGTATAACTGAACATCTTCCTAGATCTCTTTGGACATGTTTCCTGAAATCAGTTGGATGAAAACACCTTCTTTCTCCTGAGAAGCTTGGGACCCGGTTCAACTTGCCCCTAAAGAATCATACGCCCAATGCTCTCAAGTTCGGGTGTGATCTGTTGTGCTTCGTTCTGTCACCACATGCTACGCAGGTTTGACCTGTCCAGTTTCCCTCTCCGGCCCGCAACCAAGTCGCTCTCCTGAGTGACCTGGATCTCTTCTGTCTCAAGGCGCCACTCGGACACCAAGCCTGAACAAATATCGATCCATCTCGGTCGATGTGGGTGTATCGGATCTGCATTCGGCGAGACCCCCTCCATCTCGCCCCTGGCTGGGTAGACACCAGTCTATGCAGTCCTCCGAACGTTCGGAACGAATGGGGGGGTCTCTCCCCTACCGAAAAATACACTCGTGTGATGAATTGGTGAGTCATACCTGGAAGAGTCACTATTATGGAAGTGGATGGCATGGTTTATGAGGAAGACGAGCTTCCATGACCAGGTGTTCCACTTCGATGCTATCGAGTCGGAGTGATATTCGTAGGTTCCTCTATATGCTTGAGCTTCAGAACTGACCACGAAGCTGGCCTAGTACGCGGGAGGATGGTCAAGTGCCCCCTGTTCTTTGCTTGTTTGGATGATGCGGTGGACATAGGCTTCATTTGTGATCTGGTGAACCAACAAACATGAATTGTTGCAAAAGCAATGTTCACAAGTGAGACAAATTAACAGAAAGTATAAAGATGATCATGCATACATCACTTACATTACATGCACATAAATAGACATGCGACTAAAATACCCACTGAAACCCATCGACCTTTATGCTTGTTTGGCTGGGCTGCAGCGTAGAAAAAGAGATGATGTTTTATATTGGTTTATGATTACTTAGGACTTAGGTGTACTTCTCAGATGTGAAAAGTGATCTTGAATAACATAGCGGTTTTCTTGGGTTACAGTAAGGTTGTATTGGATTTTGTGGTCAGCAAATACAACACAGCTTTAAGGGGTGTCAGCTCCACAAAGCCCTCAAAGTGGAAGCTTGGATCATAAAGCTCTCTTCAAGACGAA